TTTGTTTTCATAGAAGATGTTGAAATTGATTAGATACGCTCTTTAAAAGAATGTAAAGCACCATTTGATGTGTATAATATTGCATGTTTATTTCAGTTTTCATGTTATAGAAAATAAGAAAATCTATAACAATAAATGAAAAATATTTCATAGATATATTATCGCGCTAAATGTAATTATATCAAAAGTTAGCCAAATAAAAGTAAAAGGCACAATATGCCTCAGAAATTTATAAGTTTTTCCTTGAACTTCTTTAGAAAAGGCAATCATGGGCTTCATAATGTTTGAATAATGGTTTTAAAGTATGCTAGACATAAGTAGCATTGAATGTAACATGATTCGTCATAATGTAAACAAGGTAGTATTTTGACTCCCATACAAAATACTTAATCACAGTAGCAGTACTTATTTTCAGAATGTAACAGAAGCAAAAATATTCTTCAGATACTTGGCCATTGAGTAACTTTTTGGATACTATATCAGGCCGCCAAATATAAAAAGCTTTGAGCTAAAAGAGCATATCTGGGGCATAATGGACCTTTAATGATCAGGATGTTTGCTTATTATAGCGATATTGTTATAATAATAAGCAAACATCCTAAGTGTGTTTTTCAACACCAACTTATTAAAGTTACATATAATAAATTTCATAAAAAACTAAATAGCGACATTTCATTAATAAATTGGGTTTTATATCGACTCCAGTTCTTATTTTGGTGTTCAAATAACCAAAATGAGTTTTGTTAGCATACAAATAGGTAACCTCATTGTGGCGAAATGGGAAGTACAATTTCTGTTTGCTTCGGATCATCCGTACAATCAACAAACATGCATGACTATAAGTGGCAGTCCTAATTTAACGGTATATTTCCGCATTGTAACGGATGTTTTCATACAAATTTAATCTTTTTACGAGATGATTACTTTTACTGAACCCCAGGTTCAGTGCACCGTGAAGCTTAAACGGTTAAAGTGTGTTTGCACAAGAAAATATCACATTTGCTGTGTTCCGGATAGCAACTATAAAACTGTGACGTAGCGCATACACGAGCTCATTATAGTCTTCATTTGCATGTTAAAATTCGTATACGAACTTTAGTGTTACCGTGGGGTTTCCCGTTTAAAATCCTAATTTATGAACAATATTTGATGAGATTTACAACAAAACTTTTAAACAGGTTAATGAAACTGTTGAATGTTTGATTTTTAGGCCGACGGAAAAATATTTTTACATATTTATTTAATGTAACTTTAATGTAATGATAATAAAACATATGGTATATCATAAAGTAAATGTTTATTGACTCGTTATAGTTTTTGATTAAATACAGTTTACATTTTAACATTTGTTAAGATATTCAGACGCTAAGTCGTTTTTCTTATTTCTTTAAAAGCGTTTACATGTTACAGACTTGCATAATTAGATTTTTTGTCTGTTTTCGTTTCGTTCCAGGAGGCAAAGGAAAATTCAACATAAAATAATTCAATAAACTATTCATCTCAAGGCACTGTAAGTTGTAAATTGATGCAAGTGATTCGCATATGAACAATTTTGTAAGACAAATAATCATGAGATAATAATTATAGTTACACATAAACATCTTTTTTAATCATTAACTATTAAAGAAACGCTCTTTGTATCATGTATTGCATATATAAACGAAATGTTTTTGCCAGTAAGAATAAACATATTTATTAGAATATTATATTATTTTTGGTAGTTTAGCGCGGAGGAAGGTAGTCTAGTACTGGTGTAACTCTCCAGGAACGATGGTTAGGAAACTACCCGCCTATATGACTGAAAAACTGTTGGAAAAAGGCGTAAAATGAAACAAACAAACAATTCGCAACAAGTTGCCAGCAAAGCAAGCTAGCAATGTTTGGCTCGATATATCAGAAGTCTTTTCACTTTGCTAATATTTCACTTTACAGTTAATCAATGCAAAGCAATTCAAATTGAAAATGAATTTAATATCAAGTCTAAAATATGATCATAGTAAGGAGTCGAGCGTATTTTAACTAATTGTTCGTTCGTTGTAGATATAAAACAAAGTACAATAAATCATTCAGTTTGAAAGAGGAACACTGAGGCTCACCGAGGTGACTGCCACCTACGCATGAAAGAAGAATGAATAACCTACAGATTTCCTTTAGGTTAATAATATAGACTTGTTATTGCCTGTCGCGGTTATTAGATTTAAACAAACAGTTTATTCTAAGTCATCCTTTGTCTATTTACTTTGAAAGTGATATTTAATTTGACAAGCTTGCTGTGAATTGTATTGCTCAAAAACAGTTCAAGTAAATGAACATTATTTGAAAACAACCCGTGTGCCTGATAAAAGAAAACACAAAAAAAAGATAAATAACAATATGATAACCATTGTGTTAAGTGATTTTCAATCACTTTGAAAGTGATTTTGAAATCGAAAATATTTACATGGATGCATCCTACTACCATAGTATTTCTTGTTTACATCTATTTTTTCACTCTAAAGTAGCTTCTCATGCGTACATATATTAGATCGTACTATCGTATCATCTTTTACTTACTTCTCTTTTTTCTTTTGGGCTATCAAAACATATATTGTTACCTCTTATCTATCTGACTATCAAAGCATTTCTTGTTTACGTCTATTCTATCGGGCTATCATGACATCTCTTTTTTTTACTTCTACCATGAATGGCTATCATAGCTTCTCTTGAATACGTGTGTCCTATCAGGTTATCATAGCATTTATTGTATACGTCTGCTCTATCAGGCTATCGTAGCATTTCTTGTTTACGTCTGCTCCATCAGGCTATCATAGCATTTCTTGTTTGCGCCTACTGTCTCGGGCTATCGTAGCATTTCTTGTTTGCGCCTGCTGTTTAGGGCCTTCATTGCATTTCTTGTTTACGTATATTCTATCAAGCTATCATAGCATTTCTTGTTAACGTATACCCTATCAGGCTATCATAGCATTTCTTGTTTACGCTTACTGTCTCGGGCTAGCATAGGATTTCTTGTTTACGTCTACTCTGTTCGGCTATCATAGCTTGTCTTGATTTAGTCTGCTCTATTAGGTTATCATATAAGTTCTTGTTTACATCTGCTCAATCGGGCTATCATAACATTTATTGTTAACAACTTCATTATCGGGCTTCATAGCATCTCTGGTTTACATTATATTAATTTGGCTATCATAGCATTAATCTCACGTTTTATTTATTCCCCTGTTTACTTCTATTTATTTAGCCTTTATCATATCTTTATTAATATTATTCTGTTATCAGAGCTTCTATTGCTTACATCTATTCTATCGTGCTATTCCAGCATCTCTTGTTTAGGGCTATTTCATCCGACGATCAAGCATCTCATGTTTATGACTATTTATCGTTCGTTCTTTTATAGCACCTCTAGTTGAATTGTATACACACGACAAGAATTTATATTTATTCTTTTGAACGTTTGTATGAAAGCTTGGCAGATGTTTTTCTGCAAGCTTCATTTTTTTGTTATGGAAATTGTTTTGAACATGTCGTATTCTATCACATAACTTGTATCAATATTTTGGCTTTCTTGAGATAGTTTTCTTTTCCATAAATAGTAAAAGCTGAACGGATAAGAAATAATGGATATTTTGTTCAGATAAAAAAAGTATCAAAGTTCTGAAAAGAGCAGGTGTTTATGAAGTTTTAATTAAAGTCAAATAGCAAAGAGTTTGATACACAATCACTATTTATATGTTTAATAAGTATGTCCGTAATAATAGTAATTAAACAATTTGTATTGCTTTCTTGAAGCTCGTTATATAAAAAATTCACGTTTTCTGAAATGAAAAGAGGTTTTGTTAGGAAGGATGTTTACCTTAATCGCGTTTTCTTTTCAATTCATACTAATTTAATGAAGGATGATAATAGTTTGGTAAACAAATTAATTTCACGTCAGCAGTTTGGTTTGACGTATAAGGTCGACGCATCATAAAACATATTCCACCTTTTATATCTTAAGTGTCAATAACTCGTTGATTGAAGACTTGCAATTTCATTACCAGAAACATTTGAAAGTTGTGGTCCAGAGTATTTCAAATATATAACGTCATTTTGTTATCAAATTATACGAACAACATTTGTTGAAATCGTAACATGTTCAATTTTTGAAGACACCTGTATGTTAAATCGATCTCATGGCATACTGACCTTCTTGGTACCACTGCACACATTACTAAGTAAAATTTCTAATACTATATCAAATTATTTTAAATAAATGCTTAACATAAAAAAAAGTTTAAAGTGACATGTTCATCACATAGTTAAAAGTATATGTACAGGTAAAATTTCAAAAAGCTTTATATTTTGCAATTATAGTTTTCAATGTTATATCTTGCTTCACAAAATGACCCACAAGAATTCCTATAAATATCTTTCCGATTCTATCCATAATGTATATTTGATAAAAAGGAGTGGACGTCTTTTTTATTTGGTAGTTTTTATATTTTACTCTAGATTTTGTTATTATCAATAAATGGTCAAAAACCATTAATATAGTTTATTTTTTCAAATAAATTGCTAATTCAGGTCATCTTGACAATGCCAAAAATGAGTATAATTGTCACTTTAATTGATATGTCAAATTCATTAAAGCGGTATAGTAAGACGAGTGTCCACAATGTCAATGCAAAGAAGTATGGAAATAAACAGTTTTGCTGATATTCTGCAAATGCTATAACTAGGATATCTATCGAGTAATTTTAGCAATTAAAATTCCATAATCAGAGTGCTTCACGCACAAGACGATGATACATTTCACACCGTTTAAATACAGCCATAAACTATAGTAAATTCATCATTCTTAAGATATTGTCCGGGCTTGTTTAAACTTAAAACTTCATAAGAATCAAAGCGTCTAATTAGTTTACTTTAATTTGTGATACAAATTAAACACATTCAAGGCGTTGTTATTGTCTGAAAACTCACACCTGGGAAATATTCTAAACATATTTCATTTTTATTGGATTTTATTCCAAGATATAACATAGATATACATAACAAATGTATCATGATAATGAATGTTCATATGGAATGAAATATTATTCAATAACAATTAATAAGAAAGGCGTGTTTGCGTTATCAGTGTTTTTGCTCCGCTCGATACTCCGTTCACTATTTCTGTACTGCTGGAAATCAACCCTTTTCTTTAACATTTCTTATAACAAAATGTATACAAAATCTGCATTACTTGTCTTCAAATGAAAGCACAGTTATATTTAATATATAGTATGAAAGATTCATCAGGTCTTAACATTTTCATATATCACTACGCCGCCTATTCACTGATCTAACATGCGATCCAACGTCAAGCAGGGACAAATTTCTCTCATCAGTTATGCCTATGTTGCGACGAAAACAGGAATAGCAAAACAAGCGGCGAAATTGGCACCAGAATATTGTATTGAATATACAATATATAACAAAATTTGCTGCTGAATTAATGAGTAGCAACAAGTCTGTAATTTCTCTAATTCCACGCGCAAGATAGTTCTCTTCGGAATATCCAAGTCCAAAGAATGTTGACATAATTGTGTCTGGCGTTATGCAAATTAGGAATACAAGAATCACTGTAATTAACATTGTTGTTATCCGATGCTTTTTGGGAGTCTTTGAACGGAGCAGACGACACCTCCGAAGTCCGTACATTATGCACGTGTTTAATATGATCAAGATAACTAATGGAATTATAGAACGCATTAGATTTTGAAACCATGTGTAAATATCCGTAAAAAGTTGGTTTTGCCACAGTTGTGATAATATGACGTCATACTCTATTGCACCTGTTTCGTTGTTTACCTTTTGAACTGTTCTATATCGCATAGCGTATGGAATAGCAAGAACTGACATGATCACGAATACGGAGAAGGAAATAGTTCTTGCTTTGTATATATTACAATAAAATTTCACTCTCGTTGGATGGCAAACATAAACATATCTCTCCACAGCCACTGAGACAATGAGCCATGCCGAAACACACAATGACGCGTTAAAAATATAGTGCGCGTAAGGATACAAAAATACGTATGCTTTATTTCCGGTTGATGTATCAATCTGATTCAACAATATCACCATAAAGTACAGAAAATCTACAAACAGTTTTATCAAATCTGAAACGGCTAATGCAAAAAGATAGGTGTTAGTTGAAGATCTCATTTGTTTTTGAGACATAACGATTATGCTCATCACGTTTCCTGTCATGCCCAGTATACATAAAATTGGATAAAACACAAGGCCTGTAATGTATTGTGCTCTGTAGTAGAATGCTTCATAATCATCCAAACTTGCCGGCGGGGTTAATGTCGTACTTTGTACTTGAGTGAGATTAGCCTCACGTTCAGAATCCATGGCAATTAAACTCACAAGCGTCATTTGGGACACCTGAAATTGTAAAATATATTTGTAGTTTATTCCATCACATTTGAAAAGAAGCAGAGATTTAATATAAAAAATATTCCGACTGTTAACATTCTTACGTTTCACTAACCTTTGTCTTCAAACAATTATATGACTTAAATATATGTTCAAGTTTGGTTTAGAGATAAAACAAATATCAATTATTTGTTTGAACGAGAAACGTTTTTCTTTGATCTGGTAAAACCTCTTGATTTCTGGTTAATTTCAGCATCCAAATATTTGATTATACTATAAAGGTTAATCAACTCGGCGTTGAATTTTTGAAACAGGTGCTTCTTGTAACAAACATTTTGATTACAAATATGTTCTATACCGTTATGTTTCTTATATTTAAATGATCTTAAAAAAATCAAAAATACAATATCTCTGAGTTAATATTTAGGGCTAACTGTTTCGCATTTTGCTATTGTATGGAAAATATAAGAACATAAATTGGCTGAATACATAACAGTGCAGTCCATGTTCGGACAAATAAAATGTGTCGGCTGATTTTTGTCTGCACTGGTCGCATATTCATTGTACTTTGATTGGCTTAGTCGTTGTTTGGACGGCAAAAATTTGCTAGGTGACTTTTGGTCGCATAGGTATGATTAATTGCAACCAGCAGACTAATGGTTTATCACAAGGACATATTTATTTTATTTCGACTCTGATTTATTTAGTTCGATTGTTATGATATTGTGAACATATATTGTTCATAGCTATAGAGATCATAGTCTGACGTTAAATATTACGACCGTGTAATATAAGGTTACCTAAGCATGACCCCAGAAAAGAAAAAATGTTATATTATAAAATGATAATGAACATTTTAAACAATTATTCTATCTTTGAACGGAAGCTAATGCTTTTATTTCACTGTTTTATTTTTTCAGTAATGATTTCAAAATCCCTCCATTTTTTGCAATTAAAAGAAACATTTTTAATCATTTCCTGCTATTTGTGTAGCGGAATCGGAAAACAACTGTCAAATGAGCCATGGAATCGATGGAAGAAATAAACTTTTTGCGAAAATTAGTCCAAAAAACTTTATCAATAATTTTGAAATTTGTTTAATCTGAAACCAACAAATGATACAAATCGATTTCGACAAACGACAACATACAATAAGCTGTCTAGTTAACCTTATTTTTACCAGATTGGTACAGAAATGCTTGAAAATTCAGTAGATAAGTAAAATGTGTAAGAATATCATTGGTCAATATCATAAATGAAGTGTTAAAACTTAAAAGGGTCAATTCTATGTCACATTGAGTAGTATTTTGATATATAGTTGAAGTGTTTAGTGTAAGTCTATATATTATTTTCTTTGGCTGATATTCTTGCCTGATGACGTCCATTTTGCAGAATGCTATCATATCATCAGGTTGTATTGAATTGCGTACATATGTCAAGAATTATACGTTATAAGATGAATTATTTTTAAAGTAGGCATTATACTTGACAAATAGTCTATATCAGATTTTGTCCTTGGAAATCGAAACTATAATGGGCATTTCAATATGTACAGCTTGTCCTGATTTTTGTGTGATGATTCGTCCTTTAATTGTTCTTCTATAGTACAAAATGTGTTTGTTCACAAGATATGAAAAGATATATAACGAGACATTCAACGTTTGATTGGTATTGTGATGTCAGAAGCAGATGTTTATCTATTTGTAATTAAAAAAAGGGGCGCCATCTGTTTATTTCCAGAGACAAATATAAAAACGATACTATATTTTATTGTTTTTGTTTTTGTGTGTTTGTGTTTTTGTTTGTTTGTTTTTTTTTCTTGCAAAAAAATCCGCCACAAAAAACAGTTAATAACTCTAGTGAATATATTATTTTTTACATGATTGCTTTAGTTTGATTATTCTAATTTCATTTCAATAGCACCAATATCTTAAATAAAAATTAATTTCTATTTTTTCACGAGCATTATTGGGTATCAAACTATATTTGGTACTCAGGTCAATTCTTGAAAACTCAATTGCTAAGTTTGAATGTTTCGTTTTTTTTATATTTAAACCCCTTTAAAATTGCCACAATCATTTAATTTGCAAGAAAAGGAAGAATTTTATGTTTTAACAATAAAGCATAAGTAAGCTATTGATTAACTTGTAATTTTATACAGACAAACTGTACAAAATGTGTCCGAGTAATATACAATAGAATTTCTTAACACTTTGTTAACACAGAAGGTTCTGTTAATTGTGTAGAAATTATCCATAGCCTGTTTACATTTATAACTGATATTAACGTGTATAAATTGTGTATAACATCCAAATCTTGTATACATTAATTAAGTTTTTTGTTGAACAATCCAACATAATTTCAGCTGGCAAGTACATTGCATTACAGAAATAAGACGTGTATAAAAATAGCTAAATTAAAATTTATAAGGCTATTGAATAACATCAATAGCGATATAGCGATAATTAAACAAAAAAGCATGCCACTCTTTAGCATAAATCATGATAATTGAACTGTCAGTCAGTCTATTAAGATAAAATCGTGAAACTACTTACTTGAAAATAGCATTTACTTTCTTCAAAAATAGAGCTTGAAGTTACATAAGTGAAAATGAGCATAGACACAGCATTTTTGCTTCTAAAATTTTGAGCCTAGAAGGTAATTTATTGGTATTATATCATAATCGTAAATTTAAAATTTCGTTTCAATACTCGGGTTATAAAATCATGAAATATAACGTTCATTTAATTGAAAATAATATTCCCCCTATAATCGTTTATTATAACACAAACTTGTGTTATTAAAAATCATAATTCGTTTAATCTCCATAACAATACTGCTACCTGCAGCAGTTAATGGCTTTTAGATTTTATCTTTTGGATATTTAACGACATATCTAATATATATAATGAGTTAAATACTTACATTTGGCGTATAACGAAATTGAATATGTGTTACAGATTAATCCTGAATGTTTTTTTTTCTCACTTCCACTTAAATATTCAATAGTTTAATCTGTAAAGTTATTTTTTTATCCCTTGAGGTTTTTAAATCAACAATTCTGCTCAAGACGATTTAATCCTTTTAAAAGCAACCGCATCACCTACTCATATTTTTGTCATTAACAAAATTGAAATCAGTTTTTTCACTCATTTAGTTGATAGTCGGAATCTTTGAAATAAATCGAATCACTTAATTTCCAAACCGTAGAGATTGCCTCTTATATTAATACCCTATTCCTGCCTAAAATAGTTTAAGGTATATTTGACCATCTTTCTTCATTATGTAATAACAAAACACCTTTTTCACCATGGTTTTAAATCATTTAATGATATCTGTAAAGCGAATAAACGTTTATGAAAGCTTGTACAGCAGCGCGTCTGATGCTGAAAAAAATCTTTTCAGTTATTGGAAATGTTCGAAATACTGACAGGATAGAGTTCGGTATGTTAAGTGAAAAACTGATAACGGACTAGGCTTTGAAAATCAACAAAAGGTGCTGACTTATTTATTTCAGTGAAGATTAAATAGTACAATAAGTCATCTGTGATTAGTTATGTGCTTCTTATTAGACCGAGATGCTTATAAAATACAAAGGTTTTATCTCTATAAACAAGAATGGCAATGAATTAGTGTGTTTTTGTCCCAACAGAAATTCCCATATAGATGTGGGAATGATAAAACTTAAAATGTTACAACATAAATCAATAGAAACGATGGGTGGCATTTACAACAGCTGGAAGTTATTCAGTTATTAAAAAAAATGATAATACTACTTTAAATGCACAATATTTGAAGCATGTTAGATTTTTTATAAGTGAACAAAGTAGCACTGAACGTGGGGTAACGTGTCATAAGGGTAGCAACATGTAAGTTTTATGATGACTTCCATACAAAATACTAAGTTACTATAATCATACAGATTGCTAACAGAGCAAAGAAGGCAAAAGATAGTTTATCTATGTGACAAACTAGTATTTTATTGATAATGTCACAAGATACCAAATAAATAAATAAATGAGAAATAAAAATGATGGCATTTCTGAGGCATAATGAGCCTATAAAGTATGAGAAAAACAAAACATGTATATTTGAAAATGAATGGGTCTTTCAACTCCTAATTAACTTATAACAATATCATTGTTATGTGCACCTGCAATATACAGAATAACCCGAAAGATGCTGTAGCTAAAACATATATCAAGTAGGGCGTTTAAACAAGATACATGTAAAAGTTAACGCAAAAATATATTTAAAAATGAATAAAATTTCTTTACCCGACTTGAGTTAATAGCATTATAAGGCTTTTATAATTTTGGGTCAGTTTCCACAATTTAAGATAATAATTCTTGAAAATCTGAGTGAAAAGAATGATCTGAAAATGTGCACAATGTTATTGGACCAAACCTTTATCAAGTGGGACAAAAATATACCAAGTCCCGCTTAACAAAAAAGTATGGATGAGTTTATGTTTATTTGTGTAAATCGCAGACAAGTTTAGATTTATATGTATACATGTATATGAAGTATGTACGAGTATATCTAATTGCGATAATTTATTACTACAAGAACAAATTTTTTGATACAAAAAAAACCGCAATCTTTTAGCGTCGTGGTTGATTTAAATGTGCATTATTTATTTAATAATCTAATGCTTCCTAGAATTATGTGAAATATTTAACAAGAACCAAGGTCTGTTTTCACTTGTTTACAAAACATTTAAACATAAATATTTAAACATTTAAATCTAAATTTGGTTTGTGAAAATATAAATTCGGTTAAACCAATTTAATCTTTGACTGGGCAAATAATTAGAAAAGTAGTTTTAAAGACTATCATATTTGTGTTGCAAGGTCGTGCTTAACATTTTCTGACAGAAACAGTGCATCTCTAGGAAAATGAGTAGAATTTAAAGATTTAAGCTCTTCTGAAATTGTCAGCTGTTTGAAAACAACGGTGCCCTATTTTGACTGATACGTGCATATATAGAATTAATAATTCAAGAGAAA